TCAAATGGCCACTCAATGCAGACCTCTTATTATTTGCTTCTTGGTAAAATAGTATTTTTCATATTTTCTCTTGGCATAACTGTACATGATGTGTCTAGATCTGGAATTGGAATGTTGTAGGCTGCTGGGACCATTCACGTCTATGGCTGGGACCTTTATATATATGAGCAATGGCTGGAACCCAAGTCTTTCTTCATACAGTCAGTCAGCGTTTCACTGCTTGCATACCAACGTGCTGGCCATCTAGGCCTGCCCTACTAGCTGCAGGGGTCACAGAACAAGTGCTTTTTGATAGTAGATTGAACACTCACCAGGATGTGGTTGTCACAAGGTGTAGGCCTTCAATGAAAAATAATGTCAATTTTCCCCTCCAACTGTTTGGTATTTTTAGTCGCAAAGCTTGTCGCAGTCATTAAAATATATTGTTCTACTATTATATTTGTCTTTATCTGTTGCTTGTTATCAGATATGAGGGACACAGACTTTGCTCCAGTGGTGTCACAGTGCAAGTGAAGATCTCACTGTCGATCAGTTCCGTTCTAAACAAGTATGCCTACAGTTAGTCTGTTTGTTGTATTTCCAGCTATGTTTGTCCTGTAGTTTATAGCTTCAGTCGTGACCTTGACCCAGCAGCACTGAGCTGTATTATCATACCAAGCTAGTCTCCTCTCTCCCCCATTCATGTTACCTTCACTAAGAATGAGAGAAGAGTAGGCCTACACACACACAGTGACAAAAAACATACTAATCAAGGTTTAGATGCTTAATATACGTATTAATGTATTAATACTGACCAAGTATTACGAATATAAGAAACACAGTTAAATGTGATATCAGTTCAATGGGAGTCTATCACATCAGTCAATCAGAGCGTGAGTTGGAGTCTGAGGCAGGCAGGAGGCCCATGTTTTTGGCCAGCTCCATCACCCATGGAATGGCAGTAAGCCTCTCCAGGATGTTATCAGCGTAGACCAACTCCTCAGTGGTTTTCACACGCTGCCTGCTGGTAGGTGGCTCAGCTGTGCTGTCCTCACCCTCAGCATGGTCAAGTCCAGACTGGGCCTTCCTCTTCCTCAGCTGCATCAGTATGCGTATGTAGAACTCTCACCTGGTTCCACCTCTCCTGATCAGACAGCTGCTGGTAGTAGTGCATTCACCTCTGCCAGTATTCCTTCTGGGTGTAGTTGCCCATTAATTCAATTGACCTACCTTTTTTGGGAAAGACTTTAGAAATGTTCATGCAAACAGTGCATCATGACTGAATTGCGCATCGCAAATAGCCTACTAACCAAGACTACTGACCAAACTTTTTCAATACCTGGTTTGCATACCCATTGTTGCCTTAGTTAGCGTTTACTGGTAGATATAAGTTGAAACATCTTTCCTACCTACCAGCTACCGATGTCATTCTTCTGTGAGCTGCTCCATGCGACAACCAGTTGAGAAATGTGCGCTCTTGCTGCCTGCATTCCACTGAAACTAGGCTATGTGTGCTGCGAGCATGTGAATATATTTCACGTGCTTTGCGATTGTATAGGCTACTTTGTGCATGATTTCTCTATTGTACTACAGCGGGGACTGTGAAGAGAGAAAAACACACACAGGCACAGACACACATACACATATTAACACGCAATCTACAAACACGTACACATGGATGTTGTATTGTAAATATGTGATAGTGGAGGAGTGTCCTGAGGGAATACACTAAATGTATTGGGTAAAGTGTTATGAAATGTAATGTAATATTTGAAATTGTGGATATAACTGCCTTGGTGTTGCTGGACCCCAGGAAGAGTAGCTGCTGCCTTGGCAGCAGCTAATGGGGATGCTTAATAAATACATAAATACATCATTAATAAGTCGTATACCTCCACTACACTAATTCGATACGCAACAGTAGGGATTAAGAAGTAAGTATAGGCAATGCCCACTGGCCCTTTGTGTTTGACAAAAAGTGCACTCCGACCTACATGAGTGCGCTGGAATTACAGTTGCTGTCCTTTCAGCATTACGAGCCTGTCACACACTGAAGGCCCAATAGGCTTGACACTGTGCAAACATGTCTATAACAGATATAAATACTGTTACAATTTCCCCCTATCTCCCCTAACTAATAGTGAGCCTGCAAATTTCCAACAATTTCCCCCACTCTTCCCTACCTGCTAGTCAAGGAAATTCGGACAAAGTTTGAGGATATTTTTCAACGAAAGTAAAGGACAGTAAAGTAGGAATCCCAGATTTCAATAGGTGATATGATATTAATATTTCAAGAAAGGAGTGTATATACAGTGGGGAGAACAAGTGTTTGATACACTGCCGATTTTGCAGGTTTTCCTACTTACAAAGCATGTAGAGGTCTGTAATTTTTATCATAGGTACACTTAAACTGTGAGAGACGGAATCTAAAACAAAAATCCAGAAAATCACATTGTATGATTTTTAAGTAATTAATTTGCATTTTATTGCATGACATAAGTATTTGATCACCTACCAACCAGTAAGAATTCCGGCTCTCACAGACCTGTTAGTTTTTCTTTAAGAAGCCCTCCTGTTCTCCACTCATTACCTGTATTAACTGCACCTGTTTGAACTCTAAAAGACACCTGTACCACACACTCAATCAAACAGACTCCAACCTCTCCACAATGGCCAAAACCAGAGAGCTGTGTAAGGACATCAGGGATAAAATTGTAGACCTGCACAAGGCTGGGATGGGCTACAGGATAATAGGCAAGCAGCTTGGTGAGAAGGCAACAACTGTTGGCGCAATTATTAGAAAATGGAAGAAGTTCAAGATGACGGTCAATCACCCTCGGTCTGGGGCTCCATGCAAGATCTCACCTCGTGGGGCATCAATGATCATGAGGAAGGTGAGGGATCAGCCCAGAACTACATGGCAGGACCTGGTCAATGACGTGAAGAGATCTGGGACCACAGTCTCAAAGAAAACCATTAGTAACACACTACGCCGTCATGGATTAAAATCCTGCAGCGCACGCAAGGTCCCCCTGCTCAAGCCAGCGCATGTCCAGGCCTGTCTGAAGTTTGCCAATGACCATCTGGATGATCCAGAGGAGGAATGGGAGAAGGTCATGTGGTCTGATGAGACAAAAATAGGGCTTTTTGGTCTAAACTCCACTTGCCGTGTTTGGAGGAAGAAGAAGGATGAGTACCGTGAAGAATGGAGGTGGAAACATCATTCTTTGGGGATGCTTTTCTGCAAAGGGAACAGGACGACTGCAGGGGAGGATGGATGGGGCCATGTATCGCGAGATCTTGGCCAACAACCTCCTTCCCTCAGTAAGAGCATTGAAGATGGGTCGTGGCTGGGTCTTCCAGCATGACAACGACCCAAAACACACAGCCAGGGCAACTAAGGAGTGGCTCCGTAAGAAGCATCTCAAGGTCCTGGAGTGGCCTAGCCAGTCTCCAGACCTGAACCCAATAGAAAATCTTGTGAGGGAGCTGAAAGTCCGTATTGCCCAGCGACAGCCCCGAAACCTGAAGGACTGTATGGAGGAGTGGGCAAAATCCCTGCTGCAGTGTGTGCAAACCTGGTCAAGACCTACAGGAAACGTATGATCTCTGTAATTGCAAACAAAGGTTTCTGTACCAAATATTAAGTTCTGCTTTTCTGATGTATCAAATACTTATGTCTTGCAATAAAATGCAAATTAATTACTTAAAAATCATACAATGTGATTTTCTGGATTTTTGTTTTAGATTCCGTCTCTCACAGTTTAAGTGTACCTATGATAAAAATTACAGACCTCTACATGCTTTGTAAGTAGGAAAACCTGCAAAATTGGCAGTGTATCAAATACTTGTTCTCCCCACTGTATTTGGCCTGGGGAAGCGGTTTTATGCGCTGACTGAATGGAAGCTGATAATTCTGAGTTTTTTTACTCCGCTGGTCTTGGCTGGTCTCGGGAAGAAATTACAATTCCTCACTGTCCAAGACCGAGTAAAAATGTATCTGACACCGAGACCAGACTCGAGACCTACAACACTGGGGCAAATCAAATCTGACATTTTAAAGTGGAAATTACAAACTTTAGAAGCCTTTTTAAACCTTGAATACACTATAAGTGTGCATTTAGTGTGCAGAAAAATTATCAGCAACAAAAGTGACCAAATTAAGATCCTTCATCTGTACCTTTTTTGACATGGAATATTGAGCAGTACACAAAAATAAGCTATGTCCCTGTCCTCTGTGGAGGAATAAAATGTTCTTACCACTAGATAGAAAATAGTTTGTCTTGCAGAAAGATCTCCCTGTTCCATCAATGGTATAGACTGATCAACTTCCTAAATATAGAAGCTCATTTTTGTAGCAGAAAGGCCTTCAATTTGTTGCCACCAAAGCTGAATTCAGGATCAACTTTGGCACATTCTTGGCCCAAACATTCTACCAAAGTTGCTATGTTCAATTGTTGTCATCCAATTTAAAAATGGAATAACAATCACATTCAGAATCACCATGACATAATGAACAAAGTTCTGCAGGATTTTCATGTTCAATTGTGATGTCATCAAATAAAAATGTTTGCCAAAATTGTTCAGAATCTACATAAAATTGGAGAATGTTCAAACTGCCACATCTTTATTATAACAACAAACATCACAATGATGGCCTACATTACTTTGGTCTGCAGTGAGATGGGCCAGGGCCCAGATAGACAGGTAGCAGAGGAACAATACTGTTTGTTTGTAATACAAGCAATTACTGTATCTGCCTCCATCATAATGATATTAATATTTTGGCTGTGGGAGACATAATTGGAAACCACAAGACTTCAGTCATCCTTGCTCAATCCATCTTCTGTCCAGTGATGTGAATCATTCTACAATTCTGCCCTATCCATTTCCATCTTGGCTGTATCCTGTTGTTTGACAAATGAAGCAAACAAGCCTGGGTTGTCTTCTAACAGATAGATGGAGGGACAGCTAAATAAATCCCCTCACTGCTGTTTAGCTGGATAATACATTTCTGTCTTCTGAAGCAAGTAAAAGTTCTGTCTCATAAACCAAGTAATTTAATGTCAGAAATTAAAGAAAGATCCTGCACAATGGCAGACAGCGGGAAGACTGATGAGCCCAGTGCAGCAGCCACAGCCCAGCCAGCTAATGGAGACCAGCAGGTGAGGAGCACCATCACTTGGACAGTAGTTTACTCTACAACACACAGCTCTCATGAAGGGTCTGGTGCACTGATAACTTTGAAACCAGCATTCAATATTTCACAGAGAATAGGCACTCAAAGTTGATTAATTAGAAATATGCAAGCACTCCTCAATTGTAATATGCACACAAACACTCAGTGTGCAGAGTTGAGTTATCAGTACAAAGCAAACAAAACATGAAATTGGCAACACAATGGCTGTTTCCTCTCTCCTAACCCTTGCAAAATTATACCCATTGTGTGTTTTGTTCCCAGAGTGTTGTGTCCCGTGTGGGTAGCATCCCCCTGGTGAGCTCTGCATGTGGTGTAGTGTCCAACGCCTACAGCAGCACTAAGGACAGCGTTCCCCTTCTGAAGGGGGTCATGAATGCTGCCGAGAGCGGGGTGCGCACCCTGGGGGCAGCCGCCACCACCGGCTCCAAGCCACTCCTGGACAGACTGGAGCCACAGAGTGAGTTCTGATGCATAGTGACCACAGACAGACATAACATTTTATTATTTTTTATTATTTTAGTGGATCACTTTTTGTTAGGAGTTGATTCATAATTTGTTGCAGTTTCTGTGGTGAATCAATATGCCATGATGGGACTGGACAAGGTGGAAAAACTGAAAATCCTCCAGCAGCCAGCTGACAAGGTGAGACTTTCCAAATCTAGTGTTTACTAGTCAACAACGCTTCCTCATGCATCCAATTTGACTAAAGTCCCCAAGAAAAGACTGGTAAACTACTTGATATCTCATCCCTCACTCACTCATCTTCGCTTGCTCCTTGGAGCGTAGCGCCTCGACATATGGATCTCCATGCCGTCCTATTCTGGGCCAGGTCCCAGGTTGATGTGGTTTTGTGTCCCAGGTTGAGTAGGTCGACCTCCAGCTGGTTGGACCACCTGGCTCTCGGTCTTCCTCTTGGGCATGGCCAGTTGGGGGTATGGCTCCTTGAGGATGAGGGCGGGCTCCAGAGGTGAGTTTGATCTGGCCAATTGACCAAACAGTCGGAGTCGGGAGGCTCTGACCAGGGAGGAGACAGGGGGTTGGTCCGTCTTTCGCCGTATTGTGGAGTTCGGGATGTGGTCGTGCCATGTGATGCACAGTATGCGGCGGAGGCATTTGCAGTCAAAGGCGTCCAGACGATGTGTGAGGTCCAGGTTTCCAGATGTTGTCTAGGCTGGCCATGGTTGAGGCTTCCCATGGTTGTCGCCGTTGCTCCTGCAGATATATAATACCTCATATACACTGCTCAAAAGAATAAAGGGAACACTTAAACAACACAATGTAACTCCAAGTCAATCACACTTCTGTGAAATCAAACTGTCCACTTAGGAAGCAACACTAATTGACAATACATTTCACATGCTGTTGTGCAAATGGAATAGACAACAGGTGGAAATTATAGGCAATTAGCAAGACACCCCCAATAAAGAAGTGGTTCTGCAGGTGGTGACCACAGACCACTTCTCAGTTCCTATGCTTCCTGGCTGATGTTTTGGTCACTTTTGAATGCTGGCGGTGCTTTCACTCTAGTGGTAGCATGAGACGGAGTCTACAACCCACACAAGTGGCTCAGGTAGTGCAGCTCATCCAGGATGGCACATCAATGCGAGCTGTGGCAAGAAGGTTTGCTGTGTCTGTCAGCGTAGTGTCCAGAGCATGGAGGCGCTACCAGGAGACAGGCCAGTACATCAGGAGACGTGGAGGAGGCCGTAGGAGGGCAACAACCCAGCAGCAGGTCTGCTACCTCCGCCTTTGTGCAAGGAGGAGCAGGAGGAGCACTGCCAGAGCCCTGCAAAATGACCTCCAGCAGGCCACAAATGTGCATGTGTCTGCTCAAACGGTCAGAAACCTACTCCATGAGGGTGGTATGAGGGCCCGACGTCCACAGGTGGGGGTTGTGCTTACAGCCCAACACCATGCAGGATGTTTGGCATTTGCCGGAGAACACCAAGATTGGCAAATTCGCCACTGGCGCCCTGTGCTCTTCACGGATGAAAGCAGGTTCACACTGAGCACATGTGACAGAGTCTGGAGACGCCGTGGAGAACGTTCTGCTGCCTGCAACATCCTCCAGCATGACCGGTTTGGCGGTGGGTCAGTCATGGTGTGGGGTGGCATTTCTTTGGGGGGCCGCACAGCCCTCCATGTGCTCGCCAGAGGTAGCCTGACTGCCATTAGGTACCGAGATGAGATCCTCAGACCCCTTGTGAGACCATATGCTGGTGCGGTTGGCCCTGGGTTCCTCCTAATGCAAGACAATGTTAAACCTCATGTGGCTGGAGTGTGTCAGCAGTTCCTGTAAGAGGAAGGCATTGATGCTATGGACTGGCCCGCCCGTTCCCCAGACCTGAATCCAATTGAGCACATCTGGGACATCATGTCTCGCTCCATCCACCAACGCCACGTTGCACCACAGACTGTCCAGGAGTTGGTGGATGCTTTAGTCCAGGTCTGGGAGGAGATCCCTCAGGAGACCATCCGCCACCTCATCAGGAGCATGCCCAGGCGTTGTAGGGAGGTCATACAGGCACGTGGAGGCCACACACACTACTGAGCCTCATTTTGACTTGTTTTAAGGACATTACATCAAAGTTGGATCAGCCTGTAGTGTGGTTTTCCACTTTAATTTTGAGGGTGACTCCAAATCCAGACCTCCATGGGTTGATACATTTGATTTCCATTGATAATTTTTGTGTGATTTTGTTGTCAGCACATTCAACTATGTAAAGAAAAAAGTATTTAATAAAGATTATTTCATTCATTCAGATCTAGGATGTGTCGTTTAAGTGTTCCCTTTATTTTTTTGAGCAGTGTATTTATAACAGCTTTTTAATGAGCTGTATATTTTCTCTCCCTCAGCTGGTTTTAGACACAATGGGCATGATGTACCAGTCTGTGAGCGGGGCAAAGGAGGCCATGGCGGGAGCCAAGGAGACCATGACTGGGGCTGTATTTGGGGCAAAGGAGTCGATGACTGGGGCTGTGACCGGGGCCAAGGAAACCATGGCTGGGGCCAAGGAGACCATGACTGGGGCTATGATGGCTGCAGTGTTTGGTGGTGTGGAGATGACCCAAGCAGCAGCCAGTGGATTGTTCAGCTCATTCATGGGGACCAGTGTGGGCCAGATGGTCAGCAGTGGGGTGGGCCTGGCCCTCAGCCACTCTGAGAACTTGGTGGACCAGATCCTGCCTCTCAGCGACAGAGAGCTGGGTCAGTATGAATGAGAAAATGAACTAGTAACCTCTGAATGGACTGGACTGAAATGGAATTGAACCAATCCCTAGTGTGGTTGCTGCTGAGTCAGGTCTAGAGCTGCAAGATGGTGTGATCATTTAATTTATGTGTAGATATGTGTATGTAGACAGGGCGGCACAAAAATCAATAGCTCTGATCTCAGACTGAATTATCGTTTATAGATAATCTTAATTTTTTCCTGTTTAGCTGCTTTGGCTGAGCCTGCAACAGGGGAGGTGGCTACTGCACCAGTGGTGGGCTCTAGCCCATCTAGCCCCAGCTACTTTGTCCGTCTGGGCAAGCTGTCCTCCAAGGTGCAGGAGCGGGCCCTGGAGCAGTCCCTGGTGAGAGCCCGGCGCGCCAGAGACACCACATATGCCACCATAACCCAGATCACCAGCACCCTGGACCTGCTGGAGAATGCCCGCTCCACCCTGGCTGCTGCCAACCACCAGCTGGGAGGGGCACCAGAGCAGCTGCTGCAGCACTGGAAGGAGTGGCAGGAGAAACAGCCTAAAGATGGACAAGTAGATGGCGGGATGATGGATGGTCCCAAAGACCAGACTGCGGTAGGGAGTCTCGAATTAGTCTGTTTTGTCAAAGTAGTCATATGAATGAATGTACTTGGGGAACTTTATAAACAGCTAAACGTAAATGCCATTGTTTGTGTTGCAGTTGGAGTGGCGAACCCTCTCGATGGTGCGTGGTCTCAGTGACCAGTTGCGGTCTGCCTGCTCTGGTGTGGTGTCCAGCGCCCAGGGCCTGCCCAGTGTGGTCCAGGACCAGCTGGCAAATGCACAGAAAGCAGCTGAAGAACTGCACTCCTCCCTGGGCAACACTAGCACCCTCACACCCCCCCTCCTGGAGCAGACCCGTCATCATCTAACACAGGTAAACCAAACTCTCTGTTGCTCCAGTTTTCCTGTGTGTATTCATTATGAATACACACTGCTGGTTTCTCATGATTTATTCATAGTTTTAATATTTCAACCAACACATTGCATGTACATCATCATAACAGATAATTATGAATCACTCTGAGGTTATTTGTGTTGATTGACACATTTTCACAGGTGCGACATTCTCTGGATGGCGTCATGGAGTATCTGCTCAATAACACTCCTCTCAACTGGCTGGTGGGACCCTTTGCACCCCAGCTCACTGAGAAGGGGGAGGACAGGCAGGCCGTGGATAAGGGCCGTCAGACCTAGGCTTGGTTGGACCGACAGGTTGGAGTAGATTACTTCAAAAAGGCTTGCGCTTTTCGTCTACTTTCATGTTGCTGACATGGTTTGTACATTTTTTTGTACAGTGCAGTAAATTATGCGCTTTCTAAGCACTTACTGCACACACTTGTGAGTCTATAAATTATGCTGATGATAACATGGTACATACATACAAAAATCACAATACTGTGTTGTATATTCTCCAGAAGGGGATGACTACTAAAACAGCCATATTTGTGCTGTAGATCACACTCCAATCTGTGAATGTTAAGGAACCATTTAAAACAAACTGTAATTTTGTTTTTCTGTAACACTAACTGTATGAAATGCAATATAAACCCCATGTGACTGAAATGTAATCCTCCAAAATATACAAAAATGGGTCATGACAAATTGGTGTGTGACATTTATGTGCTCTCCTCTGTATGTATAAGCTCCAGAAGGGTCTCTTGCTGTTGTTCTTGATTGCGAATACAGTCAATAAAGTAATGTTGGCTCTCCTCCTGGGCTTTTAGTCCATTTATATTTGCTATTTCAGCTTTTTATGTGATACAGGATTTCATTCACCTGCATCTTTCACTCATTATTAGTTCATACTGCGTAGTGAATATTTAGAATTGGTTATGTTGTCTCCAATCCAAGTACTTTGCTGTCCTTTTTTGTTATTCCAATTAACTCACAAACATGTTTTCCAAAACCTGTAACTTATAACACTGTTGTAGTAGGGAGCTGATATTGACAGCAATGCTCAATGTCACAGTACTCATTAGCAGGCATTTTTGAATATAATTATATCACCCCATTTTTACAATGTTATTGTATTTGGCAAATGAAATGGGGACATTATGCATGTGAGAAAATAATGAATTGTTGCTTAGAATTACGTCACGGTCGTTTCGAATGTCGGGAGCTAGCGCTGGTTAGGAGGCCGCGCGCACAGAAGGGACCGATTACTTGTATTTTCTGGAGACTACGGTCGTCTACACCCCTCTGCACTTCGTATTTCAGGTACTGCTTTGCATTAATAATAAAAAATAATAAAAGGTTTCGCTAATGTAAACCGATTAAATCCGTTTAGGACGCGTTCCCGCTGACTACTAGCTAGCGTACCGTTAGCGCTTCATGCTAGCCAGAGAACATCGTACTGCCAGCTACAACACAACAGCTAACGTTCGTTTTTAGCCACTTGTGCGGAAACAAAGTCGTGTTACATTTTAAGTGTAATTCGTCTGACTAATATCATTAGCCAGATAAACTAGTGCATTTTTACTTTCAGGACATGAAAAATATGACGTCGCCGCCTGTCCTTGTTTTCAATGAATTAGCTAGCTATCTAACTGTTACTGTAGCTAACTAAACTAGCCAGTCTCTAGCTAGCCTAACGCTATTTGCTTTTGAGCCGAGGACGCAATTGTTTTTGACTGCGGACAAACAAGACCTGGGTTGATGATCAGCAGTAACGTTAGTTACTAATTTAACTAGTTAACCAGACAGCTAGTTTGCCTATTATTGTCAGTCTATGGCAAGAAGTCTAACGACGTTAACGTTAGTCGGCAAGGGAATGCCGTCGTCATTTTAGTGTTTGTTCTTTGATTTCAAGTTTGCTTGTCCGAACAAAACATTCAACTATGATGGCGCTGTAATTTAATTTAGGCTATCCTGGTAGCCTTGGCAGAGTTAGTATTTCTTGGTTTGTCGAGATGGCACAAACTCTTTTGTTTTCAGCGCTAGGTAGCTAGTTTTTGTTTGTTGTGACACAGGCACCGTCTGACAGTTTATGATATGTCTGTTGTCCTTGCTGTAAAACAAGGAGTACCAACGTGTTCATGGAAAATGACCCCAAATGTATTGGTGACTAATGATATTTACATTGAACATTTTTAGTTATTTAGCAGACGTTCTTATCCAGAGCTACTTACAGTAAGTAGTGAGTGCATACAAATTCCTACTTTTTTGTACTGGTCCCCCGTGGGAATCGAACCCACAATCCTGGCGTTGCAAGCGCCATGCTCTACCAACTGAGCCACACGGGATTCTCAGTGTCATTTCCAGCCAGGTGCCTCTCTAATAGAGTATTGCGATTTGTAACTGCTGGTTTTCCTATTGTCAATGTTATCTGACCATTCAAATGAAGTAAACAAGTTGTTGTTGTGGTTTGAAAGCTACGGGTGTCAAATTCGAAGCCTAATTTGACAGAATAAAAGTATAGCCTCTGGATTGGGTAGCCTCCATGCTAGTAACAATAAACAGTATTTGTACTGTATTGTAACTAACAAAATAGATCACTCATCACCGGTACTAGACAGATTAAATCTGTCCAAGATCATCTCTAATAAACTAAACCAATTATCAATCATTCACACTTACTCCTAGCAAAACCACTAACACTTTCAGAACTGCTCTCCTGCTCCAATGCCGGTCTCCAAGCTCTTTTAGCTCTTTTGTAGAAATGTTCATGTAAACAATGGCCGCAAGTTTGACTAACTCTTCAACCCCATTTTCAGGAATATCCTCTCCCATCCCCCTTACCCCCCCCTTATCAGAGAGCATGGCTCAGGAGACCAATCAGACGCAAGTGCCAATGCTTTGCACTATGGGCTGCGGTTTCTATGGTAATCCCCGCACCAACGGTATGTGCTCTGTCTGCTACAAGGAACACCTACAGAGACAACAGGGAGGGGGCCGTTCCAGCCCCCCAGGTGAGAAAGGTAGGGAGAGGGACTCAAAAGGAGGGTGGGGAGCTGCTAAAAGGGGCTGGAGAAGGAGGTAGCAATCGCTGCTAAACCCTTGGCATTATAAAGCAAGAGAGTGATTTATCAGTTCGTGAAACACAACACTTTTTTTCATTTGTTAATTGGACCCATGTAGGTAATCAATAGCATGTGGCATATGATTCAATATAGGTACAATGTCATTCATGGTCAACTTGGGGGGGGGGGGGGGGGTTGTTCAGTTGTGTCCTATATAAACGTGTGGTTTATCCACAGGCTCGGCAGCTTCATCGCCAGTGGGGTCCCCGGGAGCAGCTGGTGTGTCAGTGGAGACCACAACGTTGGAACCCAGCACGGAAGGGGTCACTCCGCCCGAGGAAAGGACATCCAGGTATGCTGACATAAAATCAGCTTGTCTCTGCAAACAAACACACAGACTGCTAAATGGAATCCATTACATTGACAGTAAGCTGTTGCTCAAGAGGCTTTTGTTTATCATAGTTTTTTGGAGTTCCGTAGTATATTGGATTATGGTTTCAGTTGTTCACCTCATTATTGGTCTGTGTGTCTCCAGTCCCAACTCCCCCAGCCCAGTAACCCAGCAGATGACAGCCATGAGCATCTCCCAGGATACTGGAGCCACTGACTCAGACCGGGCTGATGGGGATGAGGAAGAGGACGAGGGGACATCCAAAAACACTGGTTAGAACAACAGGAAAAAATGATTGAGACTTTCTTGGTTTCCAAACTGTTTTCCAGTAGCAGTCATCAGCAGTATATGGCATGGCTCCTGTCTTGTCTTGTAATACATAACCTACACTGCAGCCACCCGAGGGTACACTTCAACAGTAATATATGGGTAGCTCTGTTTGTGAGGTTCAGTTAGATATTGTATTTTAACAGGGCCAGTGGGGGAGGCAGCCCAGGCCTCGTCTGAGGGTGATCAGACCCCTGACAAAAATAAGAAGAAGAACCGATGCTTCACCTGCCGGAAGAAAGTGGGCCTGACTGGTAAGACAGAAGATAGGGTGTCCAAACAGAAACGCATCTTTTGACCAATGGGTAAAATAATATGGTAATTTTGTAGATACTCCTCTAAGAAAACCAATGGTCCAAACCTTATCTCTCATAATCCGTTCAAAAGTTATTGGAGTTTTTACCCTTGTAGGATGGTCAAAATTAGGGTGACTAAATCAATGGAGGCCAGAGGAAAAAAGTGGCCAAAAACCAGGAAAATAGTATTGCATCAGCAAGGCTGGATGCTGTGTGAGAATTAAGGCTAACTGACAGGCTCACTGTTGAACTCGTCATCTTTCTTCTCCAATCCGGAGGACATAAAACAATATAGAGGTAAGAGAGATATCGATTTTGAGACATGACATGTAGTATTTTCATATTATAGTATACGTGTTTTCATATTAATGCGACATTTCATTTTTTCCTAAGATTTTTCATAAAAACAAGTGTATCTTTGAAATGTCAATGGAACACTGAGCGTACTGCAAGCTTTGTATTTTTTAAAGACTTTTACATTTAATTCAGCTTGTGTCAAGCTAATTTTGCTTTTTGCGACCCGCGGAAACAACTTTGACCACCAGAACATGTAAAATCCTCAAGTTGCTGTGAGAAAGCGTCACTGCTCTGTCAACAGAGCTTGGTACTTATAATCGGATGTATTAGGTTACGAATTCCGACTTTTTGGATATAATGTTAATAATATGTTAGAGAAAGGACCCCACTGAACGATTCAGGACATGAAGAATCATATTTGTCCTGGTAAAATTTATTTTATAACATAAGGAAGTGACATTTCATCACCAAAGCGAGTTTTCAACCATTCTGGGCAGTGAGTGGACACCCTACAGAAGAAGGTTTCAGGGCCACAGCACACACATGGCAGGTGGCTGCTGAGTTCAAAGGGTTTATGGGGCATTGAGCTCGAGTGCAAAGCAGTTCTTTTCTGGGTTAGCTTTTAGGTAGGTGTTTGAGATACAGTCTAGAATCTTTACCCCTGGGGAAATTGAAGCACGCAGGGCTTAGTAGTTAGTTCAGATACATACAGTACCAGTCAAAAGTTTATACACAACTACTCATTCAAGGGTTTTTCTTAATTTTTACTATTTTCTACATTGTAGAATAATAGTGAAGACATCAAAACTATGAAATAACACATGGAATCATGTAGTAACCAAAAAAAGTGTTAAACAAATCATTCTTAAAAGTAGCCACCCTTTGCCTTGATGACAGCTTTGCACACGCTTGGCATTCTCTCAACCAGCTTCATGAGGAATGATTTTCCAACAGTCTTTAAGGAGTTCCAACATATGCTGATTACTTGTTGGCTGCTTTTCCTTCACTGCGGTCCAACTCATCCCAAACCATCTCAATTGGCTTGAGGTCGGGTGATAGTGGAGGCCAGGTCATCTGATGCAGCACTCCATCACTCTCCTTGGTCAAATAGCCTTTACACTGCCTGGAGGTGTGTTTTGGGTCATTGCCCTGTTGAAAAACAAATGATAGTCCCACTAAGCGCAAACCAGATGGGATGGGGTATCGCTGCAGAATGCTGTGGCCATGCTGTAGCCATGCTGGTTAAGTGTGCCTTGAATTCAAAATAAATCACAGACAGTTTCACCAGCAAAGCACCCCCATACAATCACACCTCCTCCTCCATGCTTCACGGTGGGAACCACACATGCGGAGATCATCCGTTCACCTACTCTGCGTCTCTGAAAGACAAGGCGGTTGGAACCAAAAATCTCACATTTGCACTCATCAGACCAAAGGACAGATTTCCACTGGTCTAATGTCCATTGCTCGTGTTTGTTAGCCCAAGCAAGTCTCTTCTTTTTATTGGTGTCCTTTAGTAGTGGTTGCTTTGCAGCAATTCGACCATGAAGACCTGATTCACGCAGTCTCCTCTGAACAGTTGATGTTGAGATGTGTCTGTTACTTGAACTCTGTGAAGCATTTATTTGGGCTGTAATCTGTGGTGCAGTTAACTCTAATGAACTTATCCTCTGCAGCAGAGGTAACTCTGGGTCTTCCTTTCCTGTGGCGGTTCTCATGAGAGCCAGTTTCATCATAGCGCTTGATGGTTTTTGCAACTGCACTTGAAGAAACTTTCAACGTTCTTGAAATGTTCTGGATTGACTGACCTTCATGGCTTAAAGTAATGATGGACTGTTGTTTCTCTTTGCTTATTTGAGCTGTTCTTGCCATAATATGGACTTGGTCTTATACCAAATAGGGCTATCTTCTGTATACCACCCCTACCATGTCACAACACAACTGATTGGCTCAAACGCATTAAGAAGGAAATAAATTCAACAAATTAACTTTTAACAAGGCACACCTGTGAATTGAAATGCATTCCAGGTGACTACCTCATGAAGCTGGTTGAGAGAATGCCAAGAGTGTGCAAAGGGTGGCTACTTTGAAGAATCTCAAATACAAAATATATTTTGATTTGTTTAACACTTTTTTGGTTATTACATAATTCCATATGTGTTATTTCATAGTTTTGATGTCTTCACTATTATTCTACAATGTAGAAAATAGTAAAAATAAAGAAAAACCCTTGACTGAGTAGGTGTCCAAACTTTTGACTGGTACTGAATAAAAAATAAAAAATAAACTCACTGATGTTACTGCTCTCATGCAGTGCTGATTTGATGCTTTCTCAATGGTATGCTTTTAAAAAATGTAAATACATTCCGAAATCTGCTACACAAACTAAATTATATCTTATTTTCAATAGACAGGATTGATCTCCGCCTATTTGAACGTCAGAACATCATATTTATTACACACAGTGCAAAAATAGCACAGAGACCTCGTGACTGAATGTTAACATGATAACTAAATCTTTGTTACATTCTTTTCAATATTTGCACATATTTATTTAATAGTTCCTATTCCAAATGTAGACTACAGCTTGTTGTATGAAGGTAGTCCACCTATCACATTGCTGTTGGTGTAGAGAGCAACATACTGCAGGGTATTGGTGCATTTCACAGTCCACAGCATTTCACAGTGTACTGCTGGCTTGCACTCTACTGTGGTGTTGGCCTGCTTCACAACAATCTCTTGGAAGAGCCTTGTGCTCACCACCCTCTAAGAAAGCACACTGTTACTACACATCTCAGGTTTCCATCTTGGTCCAGTTGGTTGGAACTGACCTTGGAGACTGAGACGTAGATATGGTTGGATGTTAACTTTGTCCATCTCCTCACTCTAGGCTTTGACTGTCGCTGTGGTAACCTGTTCTGCGCCATTCACCGCTACTCTGACAAACATGACTGTCCTTACGACTACCGAGGTGCCGCCGCAGCCCGCATACGCAAGGAGAACCCCATCGTGGTGGCTGAGAAGATCCAGAAGTTATGAGGACTAAGTAGAAAAGTCTCTGACGTGCAAATTTGGAACAATGGCAGCATGGAATAATACCAGATAAAATGGCTTCATTTGTTCATGGTAGGATAAGGTGGGTGGGGTGGCAGCGTCATAGCCCCTGTCCAGCCGCTCCCTTTGTTGACATCTCCCTCTCTCTCCCTAGAGTGACTGCTTGAGTGTGAATGTGCGTGTGAATGCCCATGTGGGGAGATGGTCTGTGTGCTTGTGTGTGTGTAGTTTGCTTGAGAGTCAGGGAGAGTGCAGTAGGGTTAGGTGGGCATTTGTCTGCATTTGTCTGCTGTGGGGAGGGAAGACATTTTTACCCTTTTTATTGTTAACTTGGGGGGACTTATTTTTATATTACCCCTGCGAGGTAGTTCAAATGAGACAAAAGTAACCTGTTTAAGAGCATGCCACAGCTCGGATAAGGACATTGGGAGGTCAAGTTAAGATCCATACTTGGATTTCCTGTGTGTAGCAGCAAGATCTTTTGAGGGCTTCAGATTAATTTACTCCCAGAGAAAAATCCTTGTCCAGTTTCTGTCAAATTGGCCTTTTATTTTATTGTAATGTTTCCCTCTGACCCTTGGGTGAATAGTTCACAACATGTCAAACTCCCAAGTCTCTGCATTCAAGAACGTTTTCTCTTTGATATATTGACTTATCATACTGATGTTGGGTGCATGAACAGTTAGTTATTGGAGTAGGTGGGGCAGGGCTGGGGTTATCGAGATAGCCTTGACATAACTGAGTGATTGAGTTCTGTTATTTTCCCCTTTCTTTCTGTTTTAATGAGTGAATGACATCAGAAGATCTATATTAATATATTGTAGTTAGCTTGAATTGTGTGATTTCATTCTATTTATTTATTTTAATCATTTGGTTGGTTTGTACTGGAGGATTGGCAGCATGTGTCCGCAAATCATTCGATTTGTACTTAACCTTTCAATTCTATTTAAGCATTTCCATCTGATTATGTAACCATTTGAAAAATACAAGTTCTGATATGTGATGGAGTAGAGTGGACAGAAAATGTCCATTATTTTGGAATCAAAGCACAACAAATAGTGTCAACTGCAGAGCACAAGACATTGAATGTGCAAATTAACCTACTCCGTTTTCTTCAGCATCCGGGTCTTTATAGTTTAGTTGGATCTCTGCAGGTTTGCTACAGAGAATAAAGCATATTCTTCCCATGCAGGCAGGCATAATGTAGTGTTCTCCTTGAACACCTGCTTCTGTTCCATAGAGCTTACACAATAAGCATCCTTGTCCTTAACCACCATCGGACCACTGACATATAACTGAACTGGTTGGCAATTAATCTCCATGGTGAGACAACTCTATTCTCAGCTAAAGTGAATTACTTCAGAATGACAGTGGTGTGCTTTATGGTCTGCTCCCAAATGAGTCCTTTTTCGAAGAAGCTTCTAGCTAACTACTTCCAGCAAGATCAAAATGTGCATGCATGTGCAGTCAGATGAATAACTGTTGAAAAACAAGCAAGAATGTTAAGACACACAGCATTAGCACAATGCAACGCGTTACTGGAACCTTGACTGGCTGAGGTTCAAGTTAACGGGACTCTACTGTGTTTTCAATTGTAAATACCATGTGGCTACTATTCATGTAGTATAATCTTATGTAGAATGTCGCCAGATAATAGGTGGGGAGAAAAAGATCAAAATATTAGTATGTGTGTATAACAGTGCTTTTCATAACTACCCTAAAAGAAGTACTGTGGCACTGCTTGGTTTTCCTTTTATTTTGTTTCACTCACAAGTAATTCCTGTGTCTTCAAACAGGGTGTATAATTTAGTCAAAGGGCTAAAATCACACTGGATGACATATTTATCCTTGACAGTGTCATGCTAGGTTGCTTTCCAGTTCCTTTTGACTGCCCACAGAGTCAGTGACTCAACTCTACAGACAGTCAAACACAACCCTTCTATGTCCAAAGTACTGCTACTAACTGGCTCACTCCTCAGCAAGGGCCTTGGTGTCCCTGTGGTTGTTTTCAGGATTGGTCACACTAGTTCAGTTCAAAACAATTTGTGGAAGTTTTGCATTGTTGAATCAAAGGTGAATCAAACATTTATTTACAATTCATGCTTTTTCATGAAGCTGGTTCATAACATAGCGGATGTCATTGAAAAAGATGATTGTGTGGAAAAAGCAGATACTGGAAAAACAACAAGTGTAACACCTGGCAAAACAACAAGGAGAAAGTCTGAAATGAATGAGATCTCTTTATATAAACAGGCAATAACCTAGACTTAATTTAGTTGGACCTGTGATTGGCGCGTTAGCCTGGGTAGTATTGCCAGTTAAAGAATGTGTTAGTGAAGGGCGGGTCGCAGTGGCTCAGAGCCTTGTCATGCAAACGCCAAGGCTGCCTAGCCCGGAGCTCAAAGCCCCTGTGACCAGATGCGTCCTCGGGGTTATCATTTGGAATCAGACACTCTTGGATCTTTGGGTTCATACTGTTTAAAGTATCTGAGTGGAGATGGTGCGGTGCCTGTGATACCGTGTAAGAAGAGCGCCTGAGAAGAAGTGTGTGTGTGTATGATGAGCTAGGCTGTCTGTGAGTTGAAAAACCTACTTTGCTGTAGGTTTATTCCCCATGGTGATGTTTCGATTTTAAGGGCATGCAGTAAACTGACTTTTAAAATGGGGCAGAGATGTGTGGCCTCGAGTGTACCCTGTTCTAGGGCAAGGGAACGGCGTCGGCTTGTCCTTCAGTTTGGCTGACTGTCGTCTTTGCAATTGTGATGTTTCACAGGTTGATAGTTCCCTTGACTGCTCAGACTACCCTAGCATTTAAAAAGGTGAGCAATTTTAATGTTACCAACAGGGTTGATGGGGTCATGCTTATCAAGCTATTTTTGAATCTGGAATTGACAACACTGAGCCTCCCTTGTGGGGCCCACTGGGCAGCCCACAGCTTGTTTTAGGCTTAATAAGATCTGTTGAATCACTGTAATTGTATGTAAGTGGATCAACTAAACCGGATCAGGATCAGTGATTTGATGTTACCAAAACATCCACTGCAATTTAAATCTGTTGCACTTTTGCAATGTCATGAAGTTTGTCTTCAGCATACCTTAAAATAATCATTGTCCTCATCTTGCGGCCATTACTACAAAGCTTTTGATCTGTGTTGAGTAACCAGCTAATGGGTGACCAAATCTAGCAATATTCTCTCAATGTGTTACAGCAGAACTGAGTTCCAATAAAATACAGTGAAGTGCTTGATTCATTCCACTGATGTATGAAAAATGATGGAACTGACAATAATTGAGTTCCAGAATGTTACAAGTTGTAGATCTCTCCTGCAGGAAATTGCAAAAGTGCAGTCAAGTCCTTTGGCACACCAGTCCCCCAGAAACACCACCAGATATATTTTTATTTTTGTTCTTTTAAAATGTAGGGTTGTATGATGTGTAAGAGTAAGTTTAAAACAATAAAATCACAAAGTTTATTTTAAATTTACACTGTCTTTTGTATTTATTTGTACAGCTGAGGGTAAGCAGGACAGATATGGTAAAGCAGGGTTCATGGGTCCGGACTTTCCTCTTGAGACCGGTTTATCCTATAAAAAGCCTAACATTCCACCACTACCTCCCAACACCTGGAGTACATTCAATGGACAACACTTGTTATTGCTGTAGCCTATTGTTGTACAGCTGTACCTTAACACAATGCTTTGTACTGCTGTGTTTCTCCGACTCTGCAAAACGCTTAAGAGACAAATGGGTGTACACAATGTCACCAAATGTTCAGCTGGAATGTTTGCTGGCTCTAACAGGAATTTACCATGAGGGCCGCCATACCCCACTGAGTGTGTAACACACCTAGACTGAGGCAGCCATGTCCATGTGTGCAGTAGCTGTGTATACCCATGCCACAGAGCCCTGCCCACTGCCACATCAGCAGCCATTCACTACTCTTGGTTGGATTTGAGCAACAAAGTAGGTGTTAATCTACCTCAGATGTGACTTCTGTTTTGTAAATGGCACACTCAACAATTAATGGTGATGGTATACCTCACCTTTCACCTATTTTATGTGTTGACTAAGTTGTGTTTACTACACATACTCATCCAGATGCAGCGCTCCTAGTGGCCGGGGACTTTAATGCAGGGAAACTTAAATCCGTTCTACCTAATTTCTACCAGCATGTTAAATGTGCAACCAGAGGAAAAAAAACTCTGGACCACCTTTACTCCACACACAGAGACGCATACAAAGCTCTCCCTCTCTCTCCATTTGGCAAATCTGACCATAACTCTATCCTCCTGATTCCTGCTTATAAGCAAAAACTAAAGCAGGAAGCACCAGTGACTCGGTTAATAAAAAAGTGGTCAGATGACGCAGATGCTAAGCTACAGGACTGTTTTGCTAGCACAGACTGGAACATGTTCCGGGATTCTTCAGACAGCATTGAGGAGTACACCACATCAGTCACTGGCTTCATCAATAAGTGCATCGATGATGTCGTCCCCACAGTGACCGTACGTACATACCCCAACCAGAAGCCATGGATTACAGGAAACATCCGCACTGAGCTAAAGGGTAGAGCTGCCGCTTTCAAGGAGCGGGACTCTAACCCGGACGCTTATAAGAAATCCCGCTATGCCCTCCGACGAACCATCAAACGGGCAAAGAGTCAATACAGGACTAAGATTGAATCGTACTACACTGGCTCTGACGCTCGTCGGATGTGGCAGGGCTTGAAAACTATTACAGACTACAAAGGGAAGCACAGCCGCGAGCTGCCCAGTGACACAAGCCTACCAGACGAGCTAAACCACTTCTATGCTCGCTTCGAGGCAAGCAACACTGAAGCATGCATGAGAGCACCAGCTGTTCCGGATGACTATGTGATCACGCTCTCCGTAGCCGATGTGAGTAAGACTTTTAAGCAGGTCAACATTCACAAGGCCGCAGGGCCAGACGGATTACCAGGACGTGTACTCCGAGCATGTGCTGACCAACTGGCAAGTGTCTTCACTGACATTTTCAACATGTCCCTGACTGTGTCTGTAATACCAACATGTTTCAAGCAGACCACCATAGTCCCCGTGCCCAAGGACTCTAAGATAACCTGCCTAAATGACTACCGACCCGTAGCACTGACGTCTGTAGCCATGAAGTGCTTTGAAAGGCTGGTCATGGCTCACACCAACAGCATTATCCCAGAAACCCTAGACCCACTCCAATTTGCATACCGCCCCAACAGATCCACAGATTATGCAATCTCTATTGCACTCCACACTGCCCTTTCCCACCTGGACAAGAGGAACACCTACGTGAGAATGCTATTCATTGACTACAGCTCAGCATTCAACACCATAGTGCCCTCTAAGCTCATCACTAAGCTAAGGATCCTGGGACTAAACACCTCCCTCTGCAACTGGATCCTGGACTTCCTGACGGGCCGCCCCCAGGTGGTAAGGGTAGGTAACAACACATCTGCCACACTGATCCTCAACACGGGGGCCCCTCAGGGGTGCGTGCTCAGTCCCCTCCTGTACTCCCTGTTCACCCATGACTGCATGGCCAGGCACGACTCCAACACCATCATTAAGTTTGCCGACGACACAACAGTGGTAGGCCTCTCCCTCAACGTGACCAAGACAAAGGAGATGATTGTGGACTACAGGAAAAAAAAGAGGACTGAGCACGCCCCCATTCTTATCGACGGGGCTTTAGTGGAACAGGTTGAGAGCTTCAAGTTCCTTGGTGTCCACATCACCAACGAACTATCATGGTCCAAACACACCAAGACAGTCGTGAAGAGGGCACGACAAAGCCTATTACCCCTCAGGAGACTGAAAAGATTTGGCATGGGTCCTCAGATCCTCAAAAAATTCTACAGCTGCACCATCGAGAGCATCCTGACTGGTTGCATCATCGCTTGGTATGGCAACTGCTTGGCCTCCGACCGCAAGGCACTACAGAGGGTAGTGCGTACGGCCCAGTACATCACTGGGGCCAAGCTTCCTGCCATCCAGGACCTCTATACCAGGCGGTGTCAGAGGAAGGCCCTCAAAATTGTCAAAGGTTTATGAGAATGGTGCGACAAACAAAAACCATCCAGTCAGTGGCAGTCCTGTGTGTGAAAACCGCTCGTTGATGAGAGAGGTCAAAGGCGAATAGCAAGAATCGTGCAAGCTAACAGGCAGGCCACAAACAGACAAATAACGGCGCAGTGGTATGCAGAACGACATCTCAGAACGGACAACTCTTCGATCCTTGTCGCGGATGGGCTACTGCAGAAGATGACCACACTGGGTTCCACTCCTATCCGCTAAAAACAAGAAGAAGGGGCTTCAGTGGGCACGCGATCACCAACACTGGACAATTGAGGAGTGGAAAAACATTTCCTGGAACATGACAGCGAGTTCAGTTTACTAGAGTGGCCTGCGCAGTCCCCAGACCTCAACCCAATAGAGCATCTTTGGGATGAGATGGAACGGGCTGTTCGCAGCATGAATATATTGCTGTCCAATCTGCAGCAACTGTGTGATGCCATTACGTCAGCATGGACCAACATCCCTGTGGAACATTTCCGACACTTTGTAGAATTCCCCAAAGAATTCAGGCTGTTCTGGGGGCAAAGTGGGGTCCAACCCGGTACGAGATGGGTGTACCTTATAAACTGTCTGGTGAGTGACAAAGCTACTAACTACTATGTCCTGGAAGAGGTCCATGCAACAAACAAAAATTTGGCTGACACCTATTTTCCAGAGGTGGGACCAAATCACTATTATTTGAGTAACAAGCAAGTCACAAGGTCTGAGTCTAAAATCGTGTCCCAAGTAGAACGGGTCAAGTCTCCAGTCAAGTCCAAGTCGTACATTCTAAGAGCAAGTCCAGTCAAGACACGTTTTTAAAAAGTCAAGTCTTAAGTAAAATAAAAAAATAAAAATGCTATACATGCAATGACTTGTTCAACTACAAATATTTGTTGAGGCTACCAGACAGCCCTTTTCATTATTTTGTCTAACACATTTTAAGTTTAACAACAAATTCCAAATGCAAGCTTCATAAGTAAAATGATCAATTTCAAAGACCAGTAGCTTGGCCTATGCTAGTAATCGTTGATTGATGCGCCATTGCTGGTGAGTTTGTGTAACAGTGTTATTACCGTCCCTCTCCTCGCCGCTACCTCGCTACCTGGGCTTGAACCAGGGACCCTCAGCACACATCGACCACAGTCACCCTCAGAGCACCGTTACCCATCGCTCCACAAAAGTCGCGATCGTTGCAGTGCAAGGCAAACAACTACTTCAAGGTCTCAGAGCGAGTGACGTCACCGATTGAAACGCCTCTAGCGCCCACCGCTAACTAGCTAGCCATTTCACACCGGTTACACTTGCAAAGTAACCAGTTAATATTGTCACCAAACAATATTTGGAGCTAGATATTTATTTATGGCTATCTTCTCTCCCTACAATTTGACGTTTGCGCTGCACCCGATCCTATAGCTGTTCAGCAAATCACCAATCTGTTCGCTAGCTCAGTGGTTGTCAAACCTTTTGACCCGCGACCCCCAAAAAGCAGTGGTTCAAAGCTCGCGACCCCCCACGCACCCACATGCGCGCGCACAATCGCTGCGCAAATGTAGTCTGTCATTACAGCCATATCAATCAATCAATCATATGTATTTATAAAACCATTTTTACATCAGCAGATGTCATAAAGTCCTTATACACAAACCCAGCCTAAATAAATGGCAATGCATTTTCAAAACGCAAGATACAGAAATAAACTGCATTTTACACCCGCATTTGTATCTGAAAGTAATTCATGTTAGCAGCCAATATTAACGACGGATATCATGTCACTTTTCTGTCCAGAGCATGCAGAATCATACCACCTACCTGTATGCAGCGGAGGTTGCAGGACAGGATGGAACGCATGGTCTGTCTGCACCGCGCGCTCTCACTTTGGAGGGCCGCCAGCCTGCAGAAAGCTAGTTGCCAACTGGGTAGCCCTTTTCTTCCTCAAAAATACCGTAATTAATATGTTACATCTTTGTCCCATAATACTGAAGGAAGTGCGATGTTACAGCTACCTTTAGACATATAGCCAGTAGCCACCCAAACTAGGCCTATCTGAAATATTAAAATGATCAATGAAATCGCCAGGTAGCTTATTATTGTTCTGGCAAAGATGCCTCAGTAGTAGATTTCTAAACTGTATTTTATATGAATAATATAAAATGTAGGCCTACTCTGTTTTTGCCAGGCAAAACCGGAGAAAATGAAGCAAGTGCTTTCTGGTCACTAATCTCTGGATATGCGCGCTCGCCTTTGCGTGCCAATGCTGATGATTGGTCAACAATCAAGACATGCAACTTTTTGGTTCTGAAACATAGACTAAAGATGTTTTTGAGACAATAATCTAGTGCAATACCGTAGCCCTATATTAGAAATCAGATCAAATGGACAAAGGTGTGTGTATATATATAGAAAATACAAATGGTAGGCTATATGTAGCCTATTAAAAAAATATGAAAAATATGTATTTTTCTAATTCTGCGCTAACTCGCCTGACCTATGTTGATTGACAGTTTGCTGGTCCAATCAGAGGGCAGAGTGTGCGTTTCACTAGCCATTCTGTTGCACGTTTTTTTGCAAATTAATCCTGCAGCTACTGTCTCTGGCTACATGGAGTGTAATCCACGGAGACTCTGTGCCACAAAATGAGTGATAAAACGTTACAAACCCTGCCCAGATCATTTCAAGTCATCAGACTCAAATCAAAGTCGAGTCCCGAGTCTTGAGGGTCCAAATCTCAAGTTATTTTATTTTCTATTAAAATCAAGTCTCAAATCATCAAATGTGTGACGCCTATGCTATTTTCTAGAGAAGTAGTAAAACTCCATAAACCACCTCCTCCTTTTAGTGCCTCACTACAGAAAATATTTTCTCACCAGAAGAATGTCTCCTACTTCAACACTTCCCAAGCCCTCTTGCTTCCTTCATTCCTTCAAGTGTGTGTAGGCCTACTGTTTCAAGAGTAGACCATTATTCATGGTAGTTCCTAATGAAGTTCTATGGATGATTCAATTTATATTTACAAGCAACCAATAGCCTTATCTTGCAAAGATAACATTCTCACTCTACACAGGAATACTTTTTCATTGAAATCAACAAAATTATTCATTTGAGATAAACAACAATTGACAAATTGAACAATACGTGATTCACACATCATTATTGTGTTTGTATTATGGTATGTATTTAGAATGATTCACATTCCATCTGATCTGGTAGTTAGAGAAACAATAGGGATACATTTCTCATGAAGTGTAGGCCCAAATGTGGTCCAAAAAAGATAACTAGATAATGGATATGTTCGATATTGCAGCCAACTTTAAATGCGAGACTGATCTACAAATCACCTTGCATCCTAAATAGATCTCGCCAGCGTGTAGTTGTAAAACCCAGAAATAAGTTACCTCTGGTTCATTGAGCGATCCCTGTAGGAAAAATGAATGGGGAAAGACTAGGGTTTTGGAATAAACGCCGAAAATAAGGTCTGAGGTTAATACAGGTTTAGGAGATCTTATATGTTTTGTTCTATTAGATAATAGCAGTCAGTTAACATGACCTTTATGAATTATGAAGCCTTTATGTTGTTTATTTTATGTTGTTTATTATTACATACATTCTTCAAAATTCACAAAAAGTGACGTTAGCTGATGAAGGTTATCTCATAGAGCAAAACGTATAAAATCTCCTAAACCTGTTTTTACCACAGACCTTTCTGCGTTTATCCAAAAAACCCTACAAAAACGCCATTCATTTTTCTCATTGGCTTTGTCCAACGAACCATGGTGGAGTTAGTGCCTACAAAAAGAAGCCATTCCTATTTCCCTCATTATTCTATCTGAGCTATAACTAATCTAAATTATTTCTAGATCAGTCAGTCACAATTGACCCATTATACATCACGGTTTTGATGCTCTCGAACACTGCCTGTAACGTAGATCTGTCTGTCCTCTGTAGCTCAGCTGGTAGAGCACGGCGCTTGTAACGCCAAGGTAGTGGGTTCGATCCCCGGGACCACCCATACACAAAAAATGTATGCACGCATGACTGTAAGTCGCTTTGGATAAAAGCGTCTGCTAAATGGCATATTATTATTATTATTGATAACAAAGTTCTGTCTCCATTAGTTACCACAGCCACAAAGTCAGAATAGGCTATTTCGTAAAAATACATGAAAACAACAATTTGCTTTTTGGTCTTAATTTAAGGTTAGGATTAGGGATAAGGTTAGCAGTGTGGTTAAGGTTATGGTTAACGTTTAAAATAATATTTTAAGAAGATACATTGTAGAAATAGGCGGGGTTTTGACTTTGTGGCTGTGGTAACTAGTGACGACCAAAATTCCCCCTGCTTTCCCATTGGAAGCTTCTCAACCACTGTCATTTCCGGACGCGGCGAAACAGAAGGAAAAAAATACATTGCACATCCAATGGAATGGATTAATAATTGACAGTAGCTAGATAGCTGCTCGAAAGTAATCATTTCAACCACAAAACAGATGTGATTATCAAAACGGGTATTCTGGACGCTTGTTTTTTAAGTCTCTAAATATATTTGCGTCAGTCCATAAATGACTGTCCTATCTGAGGAGACGGTGTTTCCAGGTCTGAATAGCTAAACTAGTTAGCTAGCTACCCACTGCTAGCTGGTTAGCGGATACATTTCTGCGAGCTAACATTAGGTGGCCAGTTTTGGTTTGGTATCTGTGGTTAATCCGAAAATTGTATTTGTGTCTCATCATTTTTAGCAGTGCCGGTGATGTGTTTACTTATTTCGTTGCAGTTTAAACGTGTTTTAAAGGCACGACTTAACGTTAACGTTTTGACTCCTTTGGCTGTAGGCTAGCTAGGTAGCTAGTAGAAGGTCAACATTGTTGAACCCTGCTAGCTACAGCTGACTACAGTGGGTGGGATAGACACTTCTCAGCAAACCGTCAGCTACAGCTATGCGCAATGAGGTATAAACAGAGTGGGTGTTTCAGCTATCCAGATATAGACAGTTGTTCATTAGTTAGTCATTAGCTAGCTAACTGGGAAAGTAGCTATAACGTTACCTGCTGGCTGAAGTTACTCAATTCTCTCCAACCATGATCAAGTTGATGCGCACGAAAATACCTCAATAACAACAGCCAATACCTGGAAATATGGATTTCACGTGGACTTCAGCCATACTTAAAAATCCCCCGATTCTACTTTCAAAATTACATTTTCAGACAACTGTCTTAGCTACTTTTTGATTTTTGCTGACAGGACAACTTTCCCTGTTTTGTTTTGGAGAGTAGTGGTTTGACTTGGGATCTCTGGTAGATTTTTGAATGTAATTATAGTTAGTTTCTTTCTCAATAACAGGTAGGCCTAACTTTTTTTCTCTAACATAAGATGTTCTGTTATTGTTAATGTGTTATTATTGTTAGATGTCGATTAACCATTGATGACAGCTACATTTGTCAACCGTCTTGTTCAGAATTTGTTTAACTACAGTGGAATTTGTGAATCAAATTTCGTTGTAGTACAGAATAACATACAATCACAGTGCTCATCTGTCTTTGCCCCCACAAAGTGGACGATGAATGGCCTATCTGTCAGTGAGCTATGCTGCCTGTTCTGCTGCCCCCCCTTTCCGAGCCGTATTGCTGCCAAGCTTGCCTTCCTGCCTCCTGAGCCTACATATTCCCTCCTCCCAGACCTGGAGGGGTCTGCAGCCCCGGGGACAGCAGGGACCGCAGGGCTAAGATCCAGAGGTAGTGGGGTACATGGAGTTGCTGTAGGGGGTTCAGGCAGCACTGGTCCTGCAGAAGGAAAATGGAAGCTCCACCTGACAGAGCGAGCTGAGTTCCAGTATTCCCAGAGAGAGCTGGATGCTACAGAGGTGTTCCTTACCCGCTCCAGTCGTGGCAACAGAGTGGGCTGCATGTACATCCGCTGTGCCCCCACTGCCAGGTTAGTCACGTGTGTGTGTGTGTGTGTGTAGGTGCTTGTGTGTACACCTTGGCTCATTGAGGCCCTTTTGTTTCACCATGTGTCACACATCCTAGTATGAAAATGTATGCACTCACTAAACTGTAAGTCGCTCTGGATAAGAGCATCTGCTAAATGACTAAAAATGTTTGTTTTTTAAACATCCTCTGATAAACTCACCTCCTTTTCCTCTCATCTTGTTTTTGTTATGCCATTCTTTTCCCTCTTGCTTGTGTCCTATTTCTTTACTTCCTGGACTTGCTTCCTCATTGTGTCGGGCTATCTCAAACCTGTTCTCTTCCTGCTTTCCTCATTCATTGTTCATTACATTTTACATTTTAGTCATTTAGCAGACACTCTTATCCAGAGCGACTTACAGTTAGTGAGTGCATACATTTTTCATACTGGCCCCCCGTGGGAAACAAACCCACAACCCTGGCGTTGCAAGCGCCATGCTCTACCAACTGAGCTACAGGGGACTTCTTTGACCTACCAATACCATTCTCCTGGTTCTTACCCCAATTCATGCTCTCATTTTTTGCCTGTGGTCTTGTAAGATGATATTGGTGAGTTGTGATAGTCTGATTTGTCTATTGGTGATTGATAGTCTGGTATGCTGAGTTTATACATTATTATGTTTTTATATGGTATGGCTTCAGGTAGCCTACTTGTTGCTCTTGTTGATTTATTTCAGTAATCAACTAAATTGATTTGAGAAGATATGGACTGGGTCCTGTTACTCTTGATGTAGTGCCAGTGTCACACGTGAATGCAATGTAATATGGCACTCCTTGTTCAGGGTCACATTTTGAGCAAAAAGCCCAAGAGCAAAGCAATGACTTACTGTATGGGAGGGGCAGAGTCTCTTTAAAGAATAGAGAGTATCCAGTTGCTTTAGGGAGCACAGCTTGAATTCATGAATAGAAAGCACATGGATGATGCCTGCGGAATAGCAACCCTATTATTCATGTAGTACAGAACAAGTAAAAAGACAGGAATTAAACTTAGTGAACTAGTCCTCTCTTGAGTCTGTGGCCATAACCATAACTTAATCAACACATTCAAGTCCCATTCAAATAGGTAATTCCTGAGGTTTTAATGGGAATCTGCTATTCACACAGTACAGGTCAGGATAGGTAAAAAGACCAGGTACGGTCTGTCTTAGTAACCTAGTCGTCTCTCTGTGGCCTCTCTCACCAGGTTCACAGTGCTGTTCTCCCACGGCAACGCGGTGGACCTTGGCCAGATGAGCAGCTTCTATATCGGCCTGGGAACGCGTATCAACTGCAACATCTTCTCCTACGACTACTCCGGCTACGGTGTCAGCACGGGCAAGCCTTCAGAGAAGAACCTCTACGCTGACATTGACGCTGCCTGGCAGGCCCTGCGCACACGGTACGTACGGCACCGCCGCAACGCACAGGGCTGGGCAGGCTGGGGCTCTATACATCATGTCAGGGAGGGACGGCTGTGTAGTCAGTGGGAGATGTCACCTTACAGAGGGAGTGGGGTAATGTCACACAATGACAGGCTCATGCAGCTAATGGACTCATTAGTTTGATGGGATGCTTTGTTATCAATGGCTGTCCTTGGATAGGTGTGTTGGAGTTATGGAGCTACAGCTGGTTTTTATGTTAGGCATGCCATGTTCGCAGACATTTGTTACCCGTTTACTCCTAGATTTTTATTATCACAGTTTAGGCTTCATAGGATGGATTTATGTTTAAATTGTTTTAGTGTTTGCCACTCCTAGCTTTTCCCTGACATGATTGTGTTTAATTCCTCTTTCTTCCTGGTTGTGATCAGATATGGCATCAGCCCAGAGAACATAATCCTGTACGGGCAGAGCATTGGCACTGTACCCACGGTCGACCTGGCATCACGGTATGAGTGTGCCGCCGTGGTGCTCCACTCCCCCCTCACCTCTGGCATGCGGGTGGCCTTCCCAGACACCAAGAAGACCTACTGCTTTGATGCTTTCCCCAAGTGAGTAACCCACAACACCTTCCTCCTTATCGCTTTATCTTCAACTCTTGACTGCTTGTCTGTTTGTCTGTCTGCCTGTTGGCATTTTCACATAATAGCACATGATGAGATTAGCAAATAAGTGTAGAACTGGAAATGTCAGGGGCAAAAGATATGTCCAACTAAAAGAATAACTGCAATCTCTTTCATGTATTTCATTATTCAGTCTCTCTCTCTGGGGAAACAGCCTCGGCACATCTGAGTCATAACTGAGTCATCTCTCACTCTGCATCAGATCATAAGCAGGTGTCGTAAACACTGACTCCTCCAGTCATTTGATCATATCATCTCCCTTTATTATGTAAAATGTGATGGTGTGGTATTTGAGCCATTAGAATCACATGCTGGTTCACTGAATAGGATTCCATTACAGTCCAGTACAGTACCAGGCAGTGCCAGTGTAGGAGTAGAGTAGGTGATGGGGACGGGGATGCCTCTGCTCTGTGGTGAAAGCCTCCAGTGTTCTCCTCCACCACCCTGAGTTAGGCCACCCTTGGGTGCCTGTTGCCCAGGTGGCTCTCCCACTCCCCAGCCCACACTGACTCCCATACTCCAGGAGTAGGCAACTAGATTCAGCCGAGGAATGATTTGTGTCCAAGCGGATGGTGGGAAAATAATTATGATAATTTGTACACTTGAACACAAAAAGTAAACCCAAAAAGAGATTGTATTTGAAAATAACAATAATTTCATACCTTGATTACATTGAGACACGATCACGTCTCTTTCTATTTGTAGGAATACTACTTTTTTTGCCGAATTCCTTGTGATTTTACAGTCTTTTTTGACAAACTAAAATCTTTGGGGGCCCCAAAAAATCACCCACAGGCTGGTTTTGGTCCACAGGCCGCCTGTTTCTGAACCCTGCCATACGCCATCCAGTCAGTGGACTCCCAGTAATGTAATACTAGCTTGGTTCAGATCTGTATGTGCTTATAGCCAACCCACAGTTATGTTGGGGACGGAGGGAGGACTGAGAGTACTCTCTTCCTTCTGAACTAGCAGATTGAGCTGAGCTGAGCTGGGAGATGCATTTACATGCAGCAGGATTGTGTTCTCATTATTATCTACCCTCTGTCCTGTTTGTTCCTCGACCTGTTAGACAACAGTTGCTGGTCAGTGCTCACAGTTGCAGGGCATGTTGCACTAACTGGCCATGCTAGAACAGACAGAAGTCTGTACAATGCTTTCTGTCCACGGTTACCCTTTAAGAGCATACTTAGTTATAACAATGTTGTTACACACATGGCAATCTAGTGACTACCTTTGCTTCCCTTATCCCCAGTCTCTGTAACTCCATTGCCCATTGTCTCTCTCTCTGTCAGCATTGAGAAGGTGTCTAAGATCACGTCGCCGGTGCTGATCATCCACGGGACGGAGGACGAGGTGATCGACTTCTCCCACGGCCTGGCTCTGTTCGAGCGCTGTCCCAAGGCCGTGGAGCCACTCTGGGTGGAGGGGGCGGGACACAACGACATCGAACTGTACAGCCAATACCTGGAGCGCCTGCGCCGCTTCATTGGCCAGGAGCTGGCTGCACAGCACGCCTGATACCCCCACACCACCTCGGCCTCCAGGTTCCAGTCCTCCTCTGGCTCCGTGCTGTTCCCCTGGTCGGAGTGGGTCAGTGGAAATGGGTGGCTTTGTCTGGGAGGAAGGGGTGGAGGGCTGAAGCCTGGCCTCTCAGAATGAATAATCCTTCACCTTTTGATCAACTTTGTCTGGATGCTCGCAGCCCTGTCTTTGTTGTTTTTCATCTTCTGTCTCTGTCTCCGTCATTATTCCTGGTCAGGGATTCTCTAGTCCAGGGTTTCCCAAACTTGGTCCTGGAGGCAACTTTAACTAACAACCCTAACATGGACAAATAATTGAGTGATGAATATTTGTCATTTTCTCTTTTATAACACAACATGACACTGAGCCACTACTTTACAAATCATGTGGTATTGACAGATGAGTATAACTGTGTCCTGTTTGAATGCAGGTTTGTTGCTAATGTTTTGTGTGGAATCTTTATCTTCTTTGCTCTCTCTCTCGTTTACAATTAAGCTGTCAGATTAATAGTCCTTGTCTATGAATAATTTGTTTCATAGACATATAAATCGTACGTTTTTATAATTATTAAGCATGGATTCATTTGAATCCAGAAAGTGATTAGAGCAAAAATTATTGTAAAAAGTTGCTGAATTATTGCTTTGGCTGAAGTCCAAAATCTCAGCCAAATTCATTGTTTCAAAAGCATTCTTAAGTCGCTTGCATATCTCTAAGGCATGATTGATTTCTAGCTCGGCAACCGCTGTTATGTTTCACACACTGAACTAAATTCACCTCTTACTGGGTTTCTGTCTGAAATGGAAGTTCCACATCCAGCTTAAGATGTTTTCAAAGGCTTTTTTGTAAGTGTAAGTGATCTTTATAAGTGATTTACAGAGTTGTACATACAATTTCACTTTAGGTATTTCTAATCAGTGAGTTTATTTCATACCTCCAAAAACACTAAATCATTGTGAATCACTAAGCTTTTGCCGGTAATGGCCATTCACATAGTAAATTGGGTCGGGTCAGTTAAGACTAAGCTGGATGGAGGATTAACTGAACTTGCTGCTAAAGATTAGGATCAAATGGATTGAAAAGGGTCAAACTCTCCACATCCATTAATGCAGCTTAGTTTGAGGGGAATTGAACAGTCATGTTTCAATAATGTTATTTACGCTGTACAGTGGAGTCGGTGATGTACAGTACTCGCTGCTGGTCCTATATGACATTTGAAAACACGTATTCAGCCTTGTCATGTTACATGTGTGATTTAGTGGCTCGTGTACTTCATTTTAGGGTAAATAACACTTCATTATAACATTAGTAGAGCTATGGAATAGGATGTGCTCTATTTTGTTATTGACTAGGTTTATTTCCAGCAGACTCCCTTTACAGCTCCAACTAGCCCTTTTCACTCACTTCGTCCTGTTGCCACACTATTTCAGACAGACTTGGGATTCCACCATTTCTGACCGTCTGTGTGTGAAAGTTGACTTGAGCGAATGCCCAACATCTCTGGCAGATGGGGTCTACCACCACAAGATAGTGGAGATCCTTTGGTTGGGTTTTGGGGGAGTCAGGATAACATGTACATAGCAACCAAAGTTTAACAGGAAATGTTCTGTCTTGAACAAAGCATACCTGCTCTTCTAATGGTATGTTAATCAGAACCAAAGAAAAAGTCCATCACATGACCCATAGTACAGGGTTTCTTGTCAGTCACCACATACAGTTAGGGAACAAAAGTTGTGCGCCCTGAATCAGCCAGGATATGCTGTTTAGTTTGGGACAGCTTGAGCGTGTTTACTCCCTATGATGGACAATTGTATAGAGAATACAAGTAATACAACTTATTTCTGTGTCTGGGTGGCCTGAGAGAGGAGCATGTGTGGGAGGTAGGGTTGCAAAATTCTGGGAACTTCCAAGAAATTCACTTGTTTTCCCGAAATCCCAGTTGGAGGGTTACCGGAAGCAGGAGGGAATAAGCAGGAAATACAGAATCCTCCAACCAGGATTTATGGAAAACCAGGGAATATATTGAAAGTTCATGGAATTTTGCAACCCTAGTGGGAGGTGACGGACTGACTGTACTTGGAGTGTGAGAGGAGCTCCAGACAGACACATTCCGAGCTTTTGTTTGAAGAAACTAAGTTATGGAAAAAACACATTTTATTCAAATTTTTGTGCTATCTCTGTATGGATTTTTTGGGGGTGAGGGTTGGGATCCAAGGGGATGATGGGGGTTGATGTGTTATTCTATCCAGTTATGCATGGTTTATTATTTACAACTTTGTTATATTATGTTTTAAAAATGTTTTTCCTTTGTTCCAAAAAAACCGAATAGATAAAATAAACCTTCCATGTCTGTAACGTGATAACTATTATGTTTCTCTCATTGATATAGAACTGCTCTCTGTAAATCATGTTTAAGTCAACTCTATTCACCATTTTCCCATTAATCTCTGTGATTCACCTTTGGCATTCTATAAAGAAAGAACAGCATGAGTGTTGGATCACAATAACGTTACTCAGATTGACTGGCCATCTCGACGACAAATATGATTTGACATTTGTTAGTTTAGATTTGTTTGTTTATTTTCACATATTTTTATTTGTAAAGGTAATATAAACAACACATTTTATATGATCAGATATATATATTTTTTAAACACAACACATTGAATTATTGGTCAATTACACATTACTGAACAATTACATTTTATTTATTTTATTAACTAGTAAACCTACACATTCTGAACAATTATAGTTTTAAGCAGTGTATTGGTAGTTAGTTAACATGCTACCTAACTGATCAACAATTATAAATCAAATCAAATTTTATTTGCCACATGCGCCGAATACATCAGGTGTAGACATTACCGTGTTGAGGTAATATGTACATGTGGGTAGAGTTAAAGTGACTATGCATAAATAATTAACAGAGTAGCAGCAGCGTAAAAATATGGGGTGGGTGTGGGGGGGCAGTGCAAATAGTCTGGGTAGCCATGATTAGTCTTATGGCTTGGGGGTAGAAGCTGTTGAGAAGCCTTTTGGACCTAGACTTGGCGCTCTGGTACCGCTTGCCGTGCGGTAGCAGAGAGAACAGTCTATGACTAGGGTGGCTGGAGTCTTTGACAATTTTGAGGGCCTTCCTCTGACACCGCCTGGTATAGAGGTCCTGGATGGCAGGAAGCTTGGCCCCAGTGATGTACTGGGCCGTACGCACTACCCTCTGTAGTGCCTTGCGGTCAGAGGCCGAGCAGTTGCCATACCAGGCGGTGATGCAACCAGTCAGGATGCTCTCGATGGTGCAGCTGTATAACTTTTTGAGCATCTGAGGACCCATGCCAAATCTTTTCAGTCTCCTGAGGGGGAATAGGCTTTGTCGTGCCCTCTTCACGACTGTCTTGGTGTGTTTGGACCATGATCGTTCGTTGGTGATGTGGACACCAAGGAACTTGAAGCTCTCAACCTGTTCCACTACAGCCCTGTCGATGAGAATGGGGGCGTGCTCAGTCCCCTTTTTTTTCCTGTAGTCCACAATCATCTCCTTTGTCTTGGTCACATTGAGGGAGAGGTTGTTATCCTGGCACCACACGGCCAGGTCTCTGACCTCCTCCCTATAGGCTGTCTCATCGTTGTCGGTGATCAGGCCTACCACTGTTGTGTCGTCGGCAAACTTAATGATGGTGTTGGAGTCGTGCCTGGTCATGCAGTCATGGGTGAACAGGGAGTACAGGAGGGGACTGAGCACGCACCCCTGAGGGGCCCTGTGTTGAGGATCAGCGTGGCAGATGTGTTGTTACCTACCCTTACCACCTGGGGGCGGCCAGTCAGGAAGTCCAGGATCTAGTTGCAGAGGGAGGTGTTTAGTCCCAGGATCCTTAGCTTAGTGATGAGCTTTGAGGGCACTATGGTGTTGAACGCTGAGCTGAAGTCAATGAATAGCATTGAATAGGTACAAGCTAATAACAAGGTATATATGCTATCTTATTGAACAAGCAACTTAACTTAACTCAAATAATGACGTGAGCGCTAGGCATCTCTCTCCAGGTTGTTGTGCTGCTTGGCTGGCCTGCTGCTGCCTGTGCATGAGCTGAGCGCCTGCTGCTGACGTCACTCACAATGCAGTTTTGCAGCCAGGCACGTGTGTTGTGACTGAGCGTGTGACAGAAAATCGTTTTTGTGTCATTTAGAGGTAAAATGCGTGCATTTTAGCGTTTGAGTCACTTTTCAAAAGTTGCTAAAAGTTCCAAATAAATGTTTTAAAGTAGCTAAATGTGTTACTAGGTGCTGTTTGGAAAAAAAAGTTGCCAGGGTAGTCTGAAAAGTTGCTAAATCTAGCAACAAAATTGCTAAATTGGCATCACTGAATTGGGGAGCTCAGCAGATGTGCTTAGCTATTATCTATTACAAAAATTCTAATGATCTGTCTTGACCGAGGACAAGGAAGTGCGTGAAACCCTGTAAGTATCCAATATCATGGCCGTTACCGCGATTATTGATGAGCATGGAAGGTTTCAGCCTTTTGTCGGTCTTGCAGGAGAATAGTAATTATTCATTTGGAGGAACTGATACAGACACACATCTCATGCGAGGAAAGCGTCTACACCACGATGTCCGATTCCACCAACCCAAATCCCTAAAATTACCCCAAATGCCACACGGACGCTGCGTTATCTATACTCGCGCGCATATCGCCTATACCAGCTGGTGAGCGACACGGACTATCGCACTCTCCAGTTGTTAAAAAGAAGCGACATGTTTGATGGCTGTGTCAGGGTCTACGGGAAATTATCTCACTTGAAGTCACATATAAGGACACACACAGGTATGTGCGAAGTTTAGCAGTTAGTTTATCATCCATCAAAGATTGTCTATGATATTGACAAGATATTCGAGGGACGGCTCTCACAATGGAAATACATGTCCTCGAAGATGGGAGGAGGCGAGATCAGGTAGGACCATTCTAGCCAATAAGAGGGCAGATAGGGGTGTGAAGAGTCCATAGAGATAGATAGAGGATTCATC